AACTATCATATAAGCTGTAGAAATAATTTTTGGAAAAATTTTCCATTTCTGGCCCATAGTGCTATGCCTATAAAATCAAATCGATTCATAGTTATAGCTCATAAACTTATAGAATTGATTTAATTAGCTATCAACTGTCTAATCACTAATCGCGCACAATCAATGATAACAATGAGGAAAATGGAAACCAAATTTTCAAGTTCGATTTGATGTTAATTTAAATCTCTCAAAATTGATAAAAATCGCTAAGAAAATCTGAAAAACAAACACAAAAATGTTCCCTCATTTCAGGCTCAATCCCAATCTCATCTCACTTTTTATGTACATTTGTATCACGAAAAGCGATAAGAAGAAAAAGGGAAAAATTATTATTTTTCATTTGATGGATAAAAACCACGCCTACAATAAATTTCTCTTCTTATTCCGTTCCTTCTACAAATATCTACTGCTTCTCGTCTTTGGAATGAATGACTGACGCAAGAAAACATTACAATTGAAGGAAATTCGTTACGCAATTTCTCGATTGTGATCTGTAATAAAAATTATTTTATTTTCTTTGAGCGACTTTTATTTTTTGTTTTGAAGAATTTCGATTGTTAAATAAATTAAAGTTGTTACTTTTTATGTGATTTGTTATGGAGGGTGGGCGATGAAATGAATGAGAATCTTTGAGTTAAAATTTGATGGAAATGATTCAGGGAGTTGAGGTAGCACGGTGGCTTGATGATTTAGATACTTGATATTGACAACAATGACGTAGCGATATTTGGACTTGGATAGGCCTAAGCATAGGGTTCGCGTTGAAACTGGTTATATGTGTATGACGAATAGCCGAAGTGCGATAAGTACCTTGATGGCCGAGTGGCAGGGATCTATGATCGAGATATTGCCTCTTTAGAGGTCGTGGGTTCAACTCCCATCGAACTCAGCTTGTTTTACATTAGTTTGTACATAATGCAGTTATAGGGAGATCCACAATGTTTATTATAAAGAACTTCAATTTTTAAAAACGAACAAGTTAAGTTTCATCACTGAATCCCTCAACTTCCATTAAAACCTCATTAAAATGTTAAAATAAAAGTAATTTTTCAATCCAAGCTCAAAAATATCTTTAAGACCAAAAAATCACTGCAACAAATTGCTTGACAAAGCCAATAAACGTGTTAACTACACAAGCATTACATCCCTTAATCTACCATGTTCAATGTCATGCACATGTCAATTTTCTTTTACACTTCATGACCTACAATTAATGTCACTCAAATCATTTTTTAAAAAAAATTGAATTTCACACACAAACCAGGAAGAAAAAAAAATATTTTTGCTATGAAGGAAAAAGTCAGTTGTAATGTGATATCTCTATTGTCAAATGTTCTTGGAAATTTCTTTAAAGCCTCAAGAACATGTTTACAATTTCTTCATTCTGCTTAAATGGCTTCTCATATTTTTTTTATGTTTTTACTTTGCTACAAAAACTTTTTATTTTTTTAAAAAAATAGAAAAATAATTTTATATGTAATGTCATGTGTACCACTTCAATCTTGATGCTGATCAAATTTTGGCGCCTTTCAACTGTAAAAATGCTAAACTTACGGCATAAAATAAAACTGAGAGCGAGAGTCGAGATAATCAAATGTCTAAACACAGAATCAGATGATTTTTCATTTACAATATTTTCTTTATACTTTATCGCAATCTAATGCCATTTACTTTGAGAGAAGACTTAAAAAAATTGTAAACAACTTGATTCCTTTCATTGCTCCTCTTTCATTCACAACTCATATAATACATTTACGGCGTAAGAAACGTAAACAATTTTTATGTACAAAAAAATTATTATATCGATGTGTTGTTGTGCCTTACTGCCTTGATAGGAAAAATGTTTTTACTTGATTTGCAGTTTTTTGAAGGCTTTTGATGTCAAATAATTTGAGAGAATTTTAAAAAAATTTGAAATTTTTTGATTTTGTTTCTGAATTTTCAAAAACTAGCCATATTTTTTACAATGCGCCATACCTACAAAGCAGAACTCGAAGTCGATGAAATTTTGTATGAAGTCGAGTCAACTCTGCTATACAAAATCAATGAAAATCTCGAGTCGAGTTCGAGTTCTGCTACAAAGCTTTCAAATTCAACTCATTCCTACTCCTTCCGTTCTTCTTTTTTCAAGTGACAATAAACTGAAATGAAAAGCAATAAAAAAATGTCTGAAAATTAGATTGTTTACATTTCATCCCGAGAATACTAATTTTTTCATTTATTTTATTTTTCGTATACAACTCTCGTTTCTCAGCTATGCTACTCATATCTATATCATGTCACTTACTCGAGTAGTTTCATTTTTGATGGTGTTTCATGATAAGATGAGATTCTATGTAGTATGTTCTCGAAGTTTTGGAAAATAACACCAGAGAAAATAAGACAAATTCCATAAAGATTTTATTACTTTTTGTTGAGTTGATGGAACTTTTGGGTTCGAATGTGAGCTGATGGAACGCTGGTACTGAATTTGAAATTCAAATATTTCAATTTACAAAATTCTGTCGTGTCAGGAGAAATTTGGGTGGATTAATTAAAGTTTTGAGATCAAAATTATGCAGAATGTGAAGGGTAATTAGCTTGTTGGACTAAACTATCAATTGATTAATGATGAACTGGAAAGTTTTGGAGGTAATTTCGATATTTTTAAAGAACATTAATCCTGAAATTCAAGAAATCGAGTTCAAACTATAAAAACGCAAGATCAGCAAATACCTTTGAGTCAGAAAAGAGTTATTAACGAAGTCCATTCTGTAAACAAATCAATGCCTTAAACAACAAATGTCATAAAATTTGTCTCAATGACTTTAAAAGTCATTTACTAACAAGATGAATGTCAAGATATAATTTTATTTTTTGCTGAAATAAGAAAAACTTAAATAACATGATCCTGTTGCTTCCTTCCATCCATAAATCACATTATTAAGGATGTTGATAAAGAAAAACTTTAGTCGTTACTTTAACATTTTTGATTTTTTATTTTTGTGTCTTTAATTGTCATAAAATTTACAATTTTTTAAGATTTATGAAAGATTTTTTTGTCTTATTTTCAGTTTTTGAATCCTTTTGATATTTACAATGAAAATTTATTATTTTCCAGAATTTTTTATACCCATATTCACATCGTATAACACTCATGTGAATTTATTTCATTAGAAAGAAATTTTATTTTCTAAAATTCAAAATTATTTGAGGAGTTTTTGATCATCGACAGTCAATTTTAAATCAGTTTATCTGTCAAGTTTCAAAATAAATTGAAATAATGTTAAATTGAATGTAAAAAAATTATTGAAATTTCTTAAAAATAAATAAAAGTTTTGCTGAATTTGTAGCTATAAAGATTTCTGTTGATTTCCTCAATTTTCATGAGAAAATGAAGAAATCCACAAAAATTTTCAATCGTTTCTTTTATGCATTATGTAAGTAACTTAAAACTCATTCTTTACGGAACTATTCAACTTAAAAATAATATTATTTTAATAATAATCATAACACAACCATATTTTTGTATCAACAGTTTTAATGCAGGTTGCAAACTTTACTTAAAAACTAGATTTATTAAAAAAAAAAAGAATTAAAAATTAAATTGCACATCTGTGCTCATATTCAGGATTCATTGATTAGAAATATTATATGCGGACTAAGCATGTTTCGCAGGAGTGATTAACACGAGTATTGATAATGCCATGATGAATGAATTTCAAACACTTTGTACTCGTGCGATTTCTTACACTCATTAAGACTTGCGAACTTGAAATCTTTAATGATTAATTCATCTGGTTTAATAGTTAAGTTGTGCAAGTTATTAATGATGAACTAGATTAATTCTTGGAGTTTGGAATGAGATTGAAATCTTACAAAATATATATGAAGTTAAAGGTTTAACTTTTTATATTAAACATACTCGTTGACTACAAAAGAAGATTTCAATATGCCTAGATCTAGACCTTTTTCATTCACAGCGAATTTCTAATCCGCAACAAGTTTCAAATCCTTCAAGTTTTAATCAAAACAAAACTGAATGAAACAATATACATAAAATATTAAATCTTCCCTATTATTATATTTAAATGATAAGAATGGTCATTTCCATATACAATGTACTCACAATGTGATCACAATGTTGCCTGATATTGAACTTGCACAATCAATCTTCCATCGTCAAGCTATTGAAACATGAATCTTTTGTTTTTAATGAAAATAAAAACTAGAGTCTTCCTCATCTAAGCAGACGCTAGCAGGGTCATTAGCTAAAGAGAAATTATCCCACACATATCGACAGATCAATTCAATGGAAGAAAAAGAAATTTGAACTTTAAATCGTATTATTTATATCTAGACTCTCATTCATTCAGTTTTAGATCACATTATGAGATTAATTGCATTTACGAGATTGCACGTCAATGAGAAAATTTGTTTTGATTTTAAATTAAGAGTTCATTGTATACCGGATACATCAATTGATGAAATATCGATTTGTTGATTTGAAATTTGAGGTTGTTTGTGCATAATTGAAGCTATGAACAACTTTATTTGAAAAATTTCGGATGCTTTTCATTTTTCAAACTTAATAGTTTTCAAAAACAAAATGTCAGTCAATTTTGAAGGTTATTATTTAAAAAAATGGCAAAAAGAACATTAAATTACAGCTTTTAATCATGAAATCTAGTCAAAAAGTCCTTTGCCATCTAGAAATTTATAATTTTAATGATACTCAAGTAAAATTACTTCAAATTATGTTAAAAATTAAATTTTAAAGTTAAATATGATAACTTATTATTGCGAAACTTTTTAAAATTATTGTCAGAGTTCCATGAATCTAGAATTTACCATCGAGTTCTCCAATTATGCACACTTTTTTAAATTTGATAATAATTCCCCAACTCATGTAATTAAAGCAACACAACTTCAAATGTGTAACAACTTAATAGTTTTATAGAAGTGAAAAAGTTTTGTTTTCATTTATGCGCGACAACAGTTTGGCATCAAATATAAAGTAATAATAAATAATTAAAATAAAAAAAAAAATAGAATTTCACACGGAAGACATTTTGCATATATGACGAGATATACATAAGAATTTATGGAAATGTAACTTTTTGATTCTATAAAAAGGTAATGTGAACCAATTTTTGTGTCTCTTTTTCTATGTCGTGAAACCTGAACTTCTTTTCTGACTTGTCTATCAAAAGAGAAAGAGAGAAAGAGAAAGAGAGAAAGAAGAAATAGAGAAAAAGAAAAAAAGGCGACAAAAAATTGAAATCCAATAATAATTTTCATTTCTTGCATAAAAACTTATTTTTCATATTTCAATAATTTTCTTTAATGCAAAAACTTTCAAAATCGTCCAATCCAAGGTGGAGGTTGCTGACGATCCATTTGCCTCTGACGTCATAGATAAAATTCAGGTGAGGAATGTCCGTCGGAATGTAAATCTTGTTGACCATTGCGAGCATTATTAGGTGCCACCGTTCCACCACCACTGCCGTTCGTCGACTGCAACTGTAATCTCTGCTTGAGTTGATCGCGTTCCTGTGAAACACGAGCTAAATCCATTTGCATTTTCTTTAACTCAACATGTAAATTACGATTTGTTATTTCCAAGTCATGACGCTGTTGAAGGCGTTTACTGCGACAATTTTGTGCATATCCTCGATTCTTCAGTGTTCGTCGCTTCTGCTTCAATCGTACAACTTCCTCACGAGGATATCCATGAAGACGCTTATTTAATTCACGTACTGTTAATGACATCAAAAGCTCATCATTTACAATGTCATCAGCATTTCTACCCACACACGAACCATTATAACTGCTTCCAGTGCTACTCGTACTGCTTGCACTCTCACCACGTCCATTATGATGATGTAAACTGCTATTATGATGATGTGGCAATCGTGGAGATAAGGTTGATGCAGAGCCAGTTGAATGTGGACGATGAGATGGTCCATTACAACTACCGATATTCGGACCAATAGATCCAGGATGTAAGTGTGCATGTGCATGGCTGTGTAATGATTGTGGATGATGAATATTTAATGCATTGTGTTCTAATTGTGTAAGATAGCCATGTTGTAGTGCATATGATGAAGGTGGATTTGGATTAAGTCCATTCGGTAGTGTACCTGATGTCATAAATGGGAGCTGACTGTTAAGATTATCTTTTCGCTCCCAGTCAGCAGGCTCTGGGTGCATATGGTAATTTAATGGACGTAAGTCCAATGGTTGCTCACCTCTCGTTATTGCATGTGGTAAGAACATCATATCATCACATAAACTACCAGATTGTCGGTGTGGCTGATAATATGGATAATTCTGTGTGAGGGTAGGTGAACCAACAGGAGGTGTTTCAGGTGGTGTCGATGGCGCTCCATTAACTGATGGTGAAATTATTGTTGGTTGACCATGAGTTGGCGGATGAGGGTACGTGTCAATAGGTGCAGGTGATATTGAATGTACTTTTCTCTCATCATTATGATACCAAACACCAGGACCAGCTGTAACTGATTTTATCCTCAATGCTGGGCTATTTGTAGTGCTTATTGTATTATTGTTACTTTCTGATGATGGAATTGGAGGATTTATCCAAATTTTTGTCGTTGGCGGTGTTGGCTCTTCTCGTTTGACATTCTGTGTCTGCTGTAATTGTTGCTGTTGTTGCTGCTGCAATTGTAATTGTTGTGCTGCCTGCTCTGCATCCAGGTGACTCAGAACAAAGTCTTGCACATACTCATCGGCTAATGTATTTTCTTCCATTTTTTTTATTTTACTTTTTTTTTATAAATTGTTTTTTAATTCACAAATGTTTGTCGTCTTTACTTTATGCAATTGTACGTTGCACAATAAATTATTATATTCATTAAACAAAGAATGATATGACAAACTTAAAATTATTTTTTTTTATGTTCGTAATGTTCCGGTTGTATCTTTAATTTTCATAAAATTTCTTTGTTCCACAAAAATCACAAATTCACAATTTTTTTTATGGAAATTTCTTCACTAATTCTTTTTAATCCTCTTTTGCATTCACTCTTTTCACATTTCCATTTTTTTTCAATTTTTTTGGAATTTTATATTTTAGGATCTTTAATTTCTTAAATTTTCCGATTTTTCGGCTTTAATTCACGAATTAATAAATATTTTTCCTTTTTTAATTCTCAGTTCATTTTACAAGAAAAATACAAAATTTTCCAGTCCCATAAGAGACGTCCGATCACATTCGCGATGCAGAAACAAATGAGGAAAATTCTATGTCGACGGCTTCTAATATGAATGAGGATCTCTTTTATGCATATTATAATAATTATACGCTCTCATGCACACACATACTGTACAATGTTGTTGTGGAGTAGAAAGAAAAATGGTGTACAAGTGAGCAGAACTGTGGATTTTTTGTTAAATTTGTGCTCCAATAAAAGTCAATGCTGAAGTTAAATACTTGAAAATTTCCCCTTCTCGTTGACTTAAACACACCCACAGACGATGGTTGTTTATTGTGATTTGTGAACTCAATGTAAGGATTTTATGTAGTGTGGAATGATGATGTCAAGTGCGCATGACAAGTGGAAGCTGTATTGATAAGGAATAATTTAGGGATGTGTAAGCATGAGCCTAACGTGATTTTAAATTTCAAATGATTTGAAAAAATTTTTATCGTTAAATTAAATTTGTGAGAATTTCTATTATCAATTTTGATTAAGTCTGGTTCGACACCTGAGATGTGGACAGTCGAATTTACACAAGATTATAATTTTATGAATCCGAAACATTTTTGTGAAACTAATCTTTATGTGCTTAATTTTGTCAAAATGATTCACAAGTAAATTTCGTAACTTAAAACACAAAATTGCATATGAGACTCTGCAAGGTTCTTTGAATCTGACACCTCATTTTCATATTTTTAGCTCTACAACTTTTCTTGTTCTTTTCAAGAGTTTAAAAAATTTGTCATCGTCACTAAGCTGCATATTTATCAGAAAAAAATATAAACCAGATTTTGTTTTTTAATTTCTTTTATTAAAAAAAAAAAACAAGAATTGTGCAAAATTCAGCAATATTGGAAACTGTTATTGTTTATTGGTGAATTTTAAATTGGAAAACTTCTGTCAATTTTGCTGATTCCGGCGCTCGACTGTTTTGAATATTTGCAATTGGACATTGACGTTATTGTTGCGTTCTAGTTTTCTTATGAACTCAGCTGTAAAGTTCATAATACCTTCGGGTTTGCATTTGATTAAATTGAGGATGTAGTCATTAAGCACTATCTTCATTTGTGGACTTTCAAACTTTTTCTTCAATTCTTCTTTCCGTTTTGCTTTATATTCAAGATACATTGACATAAGTTCGACATCATCTTGCCAATTTTTCTGAAGATGCTTTGTGTATTTTGCTTGGAACGGATCAATCAATGGATTACTGTGAATGAAATAATTTTGACTGTCACAAATCTGCTTCAGCATTTGACCAGATTGCATTAAGAAGAAGCTCGAAATTTTCTTAATCTTCTTTTCCTCAAAAATCAGTATTCGATCAACACGTTTAACTGTCAGTGCATGGTCATTCATAAATTTAAGTTCAATTCCATGAAACCAAAACTGTGTCAATGCGAAATCTCCATCAATATCACAAGTATATGCTTGAATGCATTGATTAAAATTCTCCATAATTAATTTTCTAATCATAAGTGCTCTTGCACCAGCAGATAGAAAATCTCCAGACTTTGTCCATTCAACATCTCTATTAAAGCATTCAGTGTCTTTATCCTTTGTTATTGACTTAGTCAGTCGAAGTCCATTTTCAGTTGGCATTATGAAAATTGTCTTTTCCTATAGAATGAGTAATGGAATGGAAATGAATTTAGTATGTATTGTGAAAGGGTAGGTAACTGACAAAAAGTTAGTCCATCAACTTCAATTGTCAGTTCCAAGGTGTTCAAAACATATTACAAGATTATTCAGACATAATTTTATGACTCAATAGATTATAAACTGTAATATTTAGAGTAATTCTGTTTCCATCCCTAGACGTCAACTTAAATCATTATTGAACATGAACATACCATAAACTCGCTATCGCTGCATTTTCTCTCAATTCGTTTTTCTTGAATTAACTTCAAATCTTTTGTGACAACTGAAAGACTCTCATAAATAGTACGTTCACCATTGATAAACATTTGTTGTATTGAGAATATTAATATGTTTCCATCTGATAATTCCTCAATCATTAGACATGCACTTCCAATTTCATTTGTGTTTGCTGTCTCTGTTTCAGCTTCAATATCGGATAAATTGGAGTCTTCTGTCTTTTGACTGATTATGAAGGTTTCATAGAAGCTTAGGTCTTTGATATTGTTTATTGGAAGTGACATTTGTTCATGAAGTTTTTTTGGAACTGCATCGAAGCAAGCAGGTGGAGTTTGTCTTGTTTCTTGTTGACATTCTTCTGAAAAGTCTGATTCTTTCCATTCATTCCATGCTGATTGAGATTCTTTTCTAGCTTGAAAGTTTTCATCACTTCCAATTTTAATTGAGTCATTTATGTACAAAATTTCCTTGTCGACTGTTTTTAAGAAATCTTTTCCTTCAAAATTAAAGCTTTTACAGTTTTCTTTAACTTCTTTTGGCACTTTCTTTACTGTTGTGCAATTTTTAACAATTTCAACATCCTTAAATTCCATTTTAGTTCCGAAAATTAACAAACTGCAGGGAAAATATTCTGAAAAAGTAATTTTGAGAACGAATGAAACTCAATCACAGTCGTCATAGCATTAATAATAAGTATCCCTTAGTGCTATAATTCAAGAACTTCATTTCCATAATGCTCTATAGCAAAACTTTACTCATGTTTGATCGATTAAAAGAGAAGTTCGTCAGTTGAATTAAAATGGCTTGTAATTGTTCAAGCATTAAGCCGTGTATACCTTGTGTTGCATGTTCAGGAATGGGTGGATTATCGACATTTAAGAGGAATGAAAATGTGAGGGAATTAAAAACTTTAAAAATCAAATTAATCTAAAATTTCAAATTCCAGTTCCGTGTTTCTTCAGCTCTTGATGAGTTTGACGATGTTTGTGGACCTGAACGTGGATTTAAGCTTAAAGATCCATCAAGATCTAGAGATTGTAAGATTCATGTTGAAGAGACTGTTCGAGAACCAGATCCGTATCATCCAAAGGTCATGAGCATGCTTAGAGAATCGAAAGATTCATCCTTGAAACCTCCATCAAGTGCAGTACTTCAACGGCCACTTCCTGAAGATTATGGTATTCAAACAAATCCACTTGGACTACCAGCAGAAAAGCCACAATGCTATTTGCCACAAGAAAATGATGATCATGTCATTGTCCCATCAGCACAAGCTCAAATGATGCAAATCGGACCGTGGGCTACAGGAAGAGTTGATTGGAGTCCATTAGGTGGATTGACTGGTACACGTCCTGTTGTTGATTCATATTCGATAACAAGATTCAGCACCAATGAATGGAGAAGGAGGAATTATGATACATTGAAGGCTGCAAATGATGCGATTGCAAAAAGTATTGTGTAAGTTTCTTCCAGTTTGAAAAAATAATTTAAGGCCTTAAATTAATATTTTTAGGGTCGAGAACTCAGCCAAAAACTCCATAATGAGATCATATGAAGTCACTGAGCATAATCAGTCTGATAATTCTAAAAGACTTCAAAATCGAGCTCGTGACATCGATGACTGGAAGCAGTGTCTTGAAAGAGCAATTCGTGCAATGACTGATGAAATTTGCACATTAGAGGAACAACGAAGACGTTTAAAGCAAGCAATGAATGTCTTGCAAATGCCTGAATCGATTGTTACTGAATGTATTGAAACCAGAACTCGACGACCAGATAACGAGATTGTGAGAGATGAGCCTGAAGAGGAACTGATAAAAGAAAAAGCATTAATATCTGAAATTCGTTTGCTGTTCATTAAAACATTGTCTGAAATTGAGGCACAGCTGCGAGAAAATCGGACAAATAAGGATCGAATGGAATTTGATTGGAGTGACAAGAAAGATGCTCATGAAAATGACTCCAGAAATTGCCAATTGGGCAACAAATCACTGGCAATAATGTTTAAAGCAGGAGCAACCAGATTTCCTGCTGAGTAAGTTTCATAATTCCTGAAATTTTTAATAACTTAAATTTATTGCTTATTTTAGTCAATCCACTGAAATTTATTGGGAACAATACACAGTCGATAACTTAAATTCAGCTGAATATTGTCGTAAAAAGTCAATTCATCTACGATCAACTCTTGATTCAATTCTGATGAATTCTGCTAGAGATTTGAGAACACAAGCAGACAATTGTGACAAGGCACTTCACAACAGGATCATCTGCATGGATGAAATACGTCAACGTCTTGAAAATGAACTCCGAACTTGTCTTCGTCGTTTGGCTGACACAGAAATTCAGATTGAAAAGCTTCAAGTTGCTATTCGTAATATGGACTATCCAATGAAAGTCTCACAAACAAGACTTGATAATCGTCATCAACGTCCAAGAGTTGAAAATTGCAGAGATGAATCGCAATTTGCTTTGATTGGTGAAGTCAAGTCAATCAATGATTCCATTTCTATTCTTAATGAGGAATTAAAGAACTCTCAAGAGATGAAGAAGCAATTGATGATTGAACGTGGCAATTTGGAACGTGAGATCATGCTTAAAAGAAGAACAATTAATATTGACCGCGAAAGGATTCAGTTGATTAGAACTTCTTTTCCAAGCACAACTGCTTTGACTGGATATTAGAGATTTTCTTTCCTATAGATTTAGTACTGGATTTAAGGATTTTGTTTATAGCTTAGTTGTGTGAATTAATCTTTTTAGTATTCCATAAATATCCATTTTCAATGAAACACCGAATACAAGAACAATTTTTTTTGCAGTTGTTCCTTGCTTTGGTACAATTCAAAACAAACGAAGGGACAGCCAAAAATCAGTTTTTGAATCAAACTCGCAGCTTATAAACTGTACGAATTCAAATTTCAAAAGTTCTTTACACAAAAAAATGTGTGGTCTTCAAAATGTAACTGAATTAATTTATTAGCAAAACGATGCCTGTATTATCAATTTATTATCACTTTCATTAGATTGTTTAATATCAAAAAAAGCTTGGATATAGGGTGTTAGATGTGATATCACTTCAAAACCAAGTTATATTTAACAGTCATTATTAAAACAAGCTGTTTTAAAAATTGAAAATCCGTTAAAGAATTTTATGAAATTTAAACCCAGGATTAATATTAAAACTACGGATTTGAAAGTAGTTCCTACAAAATCATTTTCAAACATAGGAACAATATTAGGATTCTTACAATATCGTTGGAACTATATTATCTACACTAATTGAATTAAGAATTTTGAATAAGCATGTATTCTAAAAATAACAATCCATCAAAACACTTTGACTGCACATGATCTATATTAACAAAGTCATTAAACAGTTAACGCTTTGTGTATCGTAAATGTATCATTCATAATAACTGCATCATTTTCGTAGTAAAACGGCATGTATGAGAGAAACAATGACTCTTGCTCAATAGACTTCTTGTTCCTTGAAAAATGATTTTCGAGACATTTTTCCTTCTCTTTTCTCCGAATTTTTCTACTTTTTATGATTTTCTGTTTATAAAGTCTTATCTTGTCAGACAAAACATGCATGCCGAACACAAAACATTTTGTCTAGAAAATATTTTACTAAGATTATTACTATTTACAAGGAGATTAACCATCAATGCTAGATAATAGACTTGTCAACCCACATGTGAGCATTACACAGCTAATGAGAATTTTATGGTTCCTCAAATTATCAAATTATTGTTGTACCTTATCGTAAACCAAACTTGTAACAATAATATATAAATAGATCACTTTTAATGAGAAGGAAGCTGAATGAAAAAAGTAAATATTTTTTTGCATAGGTGGAAGCGTCAGAAATTTTCTTTATTTTCGCTCATTTTTCTTCCAAGTTCAGAGTTGGTATTTAGATTATTGGCTGGGTAATGATCTACTTTATTAATATTTTTGGTATCATCAAGATCCATCTGAAAGTTTTGATTCATGAGGATCAAAGTTGAAGGAACAACTCTGCTCGAAAGTGTAGCAAGAGTATAGAAATATGATCTCGAGACATGAGAATAATACATCTGGTACTCTGACAAATTTCTCTCTCATTCATTTTGTCACATAAACCATACTTTGCACTGATATCAAAGAAACTTTAGAATAAAATATTATTTTTTGCTCAGTCTCGATTTAAATTTTCGAAAGTCAAAAAGTGTCTTAGACACAGAAAAATTTATAAATGCTTAATCGAAGATATACGTTCGACGGTCAACCAATATATTTAGTAATTTCCCTCGAATTTTTTATGTCATAAAATTCGTTGTACATTATTTGTATTTCTTTAAAGCTTGGCGAGCATGCATCTGAACTGCATAGACAAATAGAAATTCAAGATTTTTATACTTTACGACAGCAGTATGTCAATTCAGGGAATTTATTTGAAGATCGTGAATTTCCTGCAGAAGATAAAAGTCTTTTTTACTCACGCCCTGCGGATAGGCGATATAAATGGCTGAGGCCATCTGAAATCTGTAAAAATCCTAGTTTTTTTGTAGAAGGATATTCTCGATTTGATGCTCGACAGGGTGAACTTGGTGATTGCTGGTTTCTTGCTGCAGTAGCAAGCTTGACTCAAGATGAAAAATTATTTCATAGAGTTGTATACGATGACAATAGCCTTACTGAAAATTATGCTGGGATTTTTCATTTCTGGTAGGTATGAAAATATTTTCAAAATATACCTTTAAATTTTTTTTTAAAATTGTAGCTTTTGGAGATTCGGAAAATGGGTTGATGTGGTCATTGATGATCGATTGCCAACATATAAGGGACAACTAGTTTACATGCATTCACCTAAAAAGGATGAATTTTGGTCTGCATTGCTCGAAAAAGCTTATGCAAAATTACATGGAAGTTATGAAGCACTTAGAGGTGGAAACACAAGTGAAGCATTAGAGGACTTTACAGGTGGAGTTTCTGAAAGATTTCATCTCGGAAAAGCTCCAGCAAATCTTTACAGCATCATTGAAAAGAGAACAAAGAGAAATTCTATGATGGCTTGCTCCATTGATCCTAATCCACAAGTTATTGAAGATAAGACTGCTCAAGGTCTAGTGCGTGGACATGCTTATGCAATAACAAAGGTTCAGATGATTGATATTGTTACACCAAATACTAGTGGAAAAATACCATTGTTGCGTTTAAGAAATCCTTGGGTAAGTGGCTTCTTTAAAAAATTTGAGTACTCGACACTATTTTTATCTGTTTCAGGGCAATGACATTGAATGGACTGGAGCTTGGAGTGACAAATCTGCTGAGTGGCGCTATATCCCAGACTATGCAAAGAAACAAATTGGATTGACCTTTGAACATGATGGAGAATTTTGGATGTCTTTCAAAGATTTTCTCAGAAATTTTGATAGCTTAGATATTTGTAATTTATCACCTGATTCATTTGAAGATGATCAAGAGATGAAAACTCCAAGAAAGAGACAATGGAATATGAATGTTTATGAAGGTCAATGGGTACCGGGAATAACAGCAGGTGGTTGTAAAAATTTTCTTGACACTTTTCATCGTAATCCACAATATGTCATGAAATTAGAAGATCCAGATGAAGATGATGATATTGATAAGTGTACAGTCATTGTATCATTAATGCAGAAGTACCGCAGAATGAAAAGAAGTATAGGGCTAGACTTTCTGACAATTGGATTTGAAATTTATCAAGTTCGCGAGACTGACTTAGACCAAAAACCACTGAAGATGAATTTCTTCAGAAATAATCGAAATGTAGCAAGAACAAATGAGTTTATAAATCTACGTGGAGTTTTTGGACGTTTTGAACTGTCACCTGGAAATTACTTGATAGTTCCATCAACATTTGAACCAAATATGGAAGGAGAATTTTTAATTCGTGTCTTTTCTGAAAGCAAGAATGTTTTTGAAGAAAATGATGAGACAGTAAGATTAGGAGATGTCGATAGAAGAGTAATTGGTGATCTTCCAGATGTTAAAGCTCCTACTGCTGAGTGTTTGACGATTGAGAAATTATTTTATGATATAGCTGGTACTAATCTCGAAATCGGATGGATAGAGTTGAAACAAGTTTTAGATCAATGCATTAGAAAAGGTTTGTATTTCGTCATCATGATTAATTCTGTGAATGTTCTTATTACGCAATTTGAAATTTGTATTATAAAAGCTTAATTGATGACTCATACAATTATCTCTATAGAACTCATGAAGGAAGGCAGAAAAGTCACATTCACAAGTGGATATCCCTTAAATTCAGAAGCTAAAGAAATTAATTCAAATGAAATCATTGAAAGGCCTTTCCAAAATTTTATGAAAATCATCCGTGAAATATTTTGTTTCGGACAAAAAAGAACTGAAACTCATATCCCAGAAAGTGGTGCAGTCGAAGGATCTAATGTTCAATTGTCTCCTTCAGTTACACAAAGTGGTATCGAAACTGGATTTTCAAAAGACATGTGTCGCTCAATGGTTGCAATGCTGGACATTGACAGATCTGGAAAACTTGGATTAGAAGAATTCAAGACATTACTGTACGAAATTGCCAAATGGAAGGTAAGTTTTCAATGATTTTGTATTTAAATAGATCAATATTTTAATTTGGATCTTTAAGGCTGTGTTCCAACTCTATGACAAAGACCAAAACAATAAACTCGATACTAATGAGCTTCGCGATGCTCTAGAATCAGCTGGTTATCGTCTTAATTACCAAATTCTGACCTCACTTCTCTATCGCTATGGATCTCCCGACAATACAATGTCTATTGACGATTTCATCATGTGTGCAGTCAAAGTTAAAACAATGATTGAAAGATTTAAGGAAAAAGATCATCATAATAGAAATACTGCGACATTTACAGTCGATGAATGGATTGCGAGAGCTCTTTATTCATAAGATTGATTTATTGTGCAGTGAAATTTAAATTTGTTACTCGGTTTTGTTTGCTTGTTGACTGATTTTACATTTTTGTTGTTTTTGCTAATACATGATATACTCTTAAAAGTGAATTTTGAGAAAAATCTCTTGTTTAAATAGGTTTGATAAGGAGAATATTCACTAATGACTTTGTAATCTATTCAGACAAGTGTCAATTTTATGTGGGAACTGTTACTCAATCAATAATTATCTCGAATTTTTACTACAGTGTTGATAACAAGATGACCTTATTTAAAGATCCAAGCCTGAATCATCCAGTAAAACATCATATTAAAATCAATAAAAAATTTTAGTCTGCTAGTGTCGTCATTTTATTAAAGACAAGATTGACTAGATAAGATTTGATAATGTTTTAAGGATCGTACAAAATATTTAATTGGCTGCGAATTATGTCTGACAGAAAATCAATCTATTTTTATGACTTTACTGTGATTTATAGTTCAGTTAATACTATTATAATATTATAACAGCCATAAAGCTCAATGAACATTTTAACGACTGATCAAATAAATCCTCTAAATTCTTGTTTAAGGAATTTTAAAGATCTCGTCAAAATAGCCTTTAGCACACAGTCATATCCCATCCTAACCTCCAATCCAACGCATATTAACATATTCTGCATGTGGGAGTCAAGTGATATCATTTCATTGATGCATAAATAGGACAAAATTAATTCAGAGAATGACAAACAATGAACAGATCAACAAGATAACTTTGAGTAATAAATCAAAAGCCAAAAGGAGTGGCTTCTAACGCATCTATTAATTTTCTCATGGCGAATCTCAAAAAGTTTTTTTTTCTTATTTATTGATTCCAAATTTTGCATTTTATTGGCATCCCAAAAAAATTAAAATTCCTTAAAATAAACATTCAAAGCAACAAAGTCAATGCCATACTTAGTCAATTTTCATCACGTAGGTTGCCCATCAGCTGTTTGCATGATGTCCATCCATTCTAATTGACCTACAAAATCAGATTGCGCAATTTAAAAAAAACACACTGGGAAGCAATTTCCATAATGCAACAGACGCTGTGTCTCATCTTATTATCCGCACAAATTGTCAAATTATTCGTGTTAATGGTTTTTTCAAGATAAAAGTAATTACCAATATGCGTACAATTGTTAATATGTTTGCCAAACTCATTTAAAAGTCTAAATATTATTATGGTATGCTATAATTCATTCACGTGCTGTGAAAAGCTATGTAAATTTGAAAGATAAATCAGATGGGCTGCTCCTTAAGTGGTTATTTTTTTTGCAAGTTTTTTCACCTTGCTTGATGAAATTTATGTTACAAATCTAACGATTTTATTCATCTTCTAAATTCAAACTAGGTTTTTAAAAATCAAGTCTGAAAAAAAAACAAAAGGAATTAAAAACAAAAGTTTGATTTGTGTTTTTGAACTCTTTAAATTCTTTGCAATCTTTTATTTACGAAACATTCAAATTTCTCAATAAAAATTTTTACACATTATATTTAACAAGATATTTCATAAAGGGAGAGATGGCTGAGAAATATCATAAAAGATAAACAGACATCATTGAGATTTGAAGATGAAAAGAAGAATAGAAATGAAAATGATATAGTATTTAGCATCACACACAGGTTCATTCATGAATGGCAACAATATTAATCAATCAACTGATGGCAATAAAAATGTTGATTAATAGTCTATTTATTTATCGATTTAGAATCGTCCGAATGGTCTGGCTGGTCTAAGTTGTGGGATGACTGCTGGCAATGGCAATGGTTCTACTGGTTTTGGGAGATGAGCACCTTCAGCTCTGAAACCATTTTCGTCAGCGATGTATGTGACAGTGTAGACAATACCATCAGGGCCGGTGTATGAGTAGCTTCCTTGCATGACTTGAGCCTCTACGTTTGTACCTGGGTTCTTAAGATATCCTTGTTCATCAGCTCTGATTCCGTTGGATGTTTCGTAGCTAAGTTTGTAGATTAAATTAAATAAAATTAACCGATTCAGTCATGAACAACTTGACCTATTTACCTGGAGACGTATGAATTATCAACTGGATTTAAGTCATAAACTTGTTTCAAAATAATTGCGTCTTTCTCAAAGTTGGATGCTGGAACTGGACGGAATTGTGCAGATGCACATGCAACAGCAATCGATAAAACAATCTATTGAGTATATATTGGAATTGATTTAATTAATCATTCTAATTTGCTGCTTATAAATATGAAAAATTGCAATGGCTGCATATAATGAAGTGCCATGAGGTATAAAAGGTGATTCATGATAGAATATGGGAGGTGCGATTGCTGTTATTTATTGAATAATGCACCTGCTGCTAATATGAAGACAACTTCTAATGTAATTCTCAATGAGCATTTCGTAATGTGATGTAATTGATAAGTTTGGAAATTGATGCAGAAAATCATAGAAGTGATCAAGTTTGAGCACTTATGAAATCGTTTTTTGAAATTGTTCGATTAATTATATGAAATCTTATGGACAAAGATCTTTCCAATTAAGTCCAATTTTTTTTAAAGTAATAATAGATTCCTACACTTCATGACCTTGTCTGCTCGAGGAGATGGCTTTGGGAACTTTTTGTAAGAAAAAAAATTACTAAGTCACTGAAAATTCAATTTCACAAGCTTTTAACTGTCTAATTAAAAATGTTAAGTCATCTAAACTGTAATTTTTATGATTGTTTTTCGAGTAGCTCTGGGGTAATTTCCTGAGTTCTATTAGAGGTGACGACTGAAATAATTACTTCCATATCTAAATTAATTTCGATTTTAATTGTAAGAAGTTTGAAAAATTTGGAGATATTTCAGTATCTCTTGATCACTAGCTTCCTTACTGAGCTCTATTCCTCTCTATCTATTGAAAACTCATCTATTGATCAATGCAACACCATAGATCAATTCACACCTAATCCTGTTATAAGCAAAACGATTGTGGTCAGTAAATGATCGTCAATTTGCATATATTATGGCTATCAAGATGCCTCCTGCTGTCCATTTATTAAATTATTGCTTTTTTTCTGTGTAGCTCAATGATTGAATTTTTACGATCTCAAAACTGCATATTGATGTTCCAAAAGATGCATTATCCCTTAGAAATTTCAATAATGCACAGACTTAAAGCCATGAAATTGCCTCATGAATTGCATATTATATAAATCCGCAATAGATCTAAATAAAGTTCATAAATGAGGCGATAAATTTCTATTCAAATGCATCGTGCAAGTTGGGCAATGCTGTATTTTAATAATTTTTATGGAACATCACAAATTGCATCTTCAAAATATCACTTGAACAATTTATATTAATGAAAAAATAAGGTGAGAAGCGTTCAGGTATCATTGATTGAATTTATTAGCACCATTAGCCTTTGGCTCATTTTTTCTCACGCCGTACGCGTTTGATGTCAATAAATTACACTATTAACAGTCACAATAATTTTTTTATGATGTAATCCAATAAGAAAAATTATGAATCGTCCTTTTTATATCGTCACAGCACTTGACTTAAACTTATATCAAGGAACTTACAAGGAATTTCATTTTGAATATTTTTTTGTAAATTCTTTTACTCAACTGTGTGAACTAATCAAATTGAAGTTTTAGAGTGTTTTGAATTTTTTAGGTCTGTGCATCGGTTTTTATATTAAAAAAATGATCCACCACTCATACTTACTGTGATGATTTTACTTTTGTTTTTTTGTACGTTCCTAGATGCGGCTTCTCTCACTATACACGAAATATGATGAGCTACAGCTACAACAACAACAATAAATAAAGAGCATTGAGACAGTAGTGTTAAAAACGTTAAGTTAAGTTAAGGCAGAAAATAATTTTTTTTAGAGTTTACGGCCAACATCTACTCAACAATTTGTAATATAAAATATATTTTCAGCTTTAATCATACCACACTCTTTGCTATTTACAGTCGGTTGTTGCAATACTTACTTGTTCGGGTAAAGGAGGCTGGAACAAATTTTTTTTTTCTCTCGATGATCTTTTTCTTTCGCGATCATATTCAATTACTATTCCATAAAATATATTGAACTGATTAGGTTGTAAATCTGTATCAGCTGTTGATGTTATGTAAGAAAGTTATTTTCTGTGGATTGCACTAGTGATATAAAATTTTATGGACCTAAAGGATGAAGATTCACACAATAATTCAGTGACATTTAGTCAAGATAAATTGAAATATTCACAAATCATCAAATTAATTAATCTTAAAGATGACAAATGACGAAAATAGTGTGTGACACTTTTGAAAGATTTTTAGTGATTAAGGAAAGTCAAGGCAGCAAATAAGGAATTAATCACAAGGGATTAATTTTTCTGCTGCTCTGAAGTTGTCATTTTATTTTATAATTGATCAAATTAGGTTTCTATAAGGATTTCCAGGAGTAATGCTTATCCAAAAACATAGTTTTAAGTCAAGGCCATAAAAGATGAGCCACAGAAGAGTCGAAAATTTACAAGATCTAAAATCTTATGATTTAAAATAAATTTACATGAACTTGAGGTTTCTATCAGCCAAAATCGATCGCAAATCTCCATTTTTTCAGCATACCTTGAACTATTGAGGTTCAGGAGTTATTGATGTGTTCCGAATCTGACTTTTGATAGTCGAATCTTTTATTTATGATTTTTTCGCATTATGGTTTTAATATGTAAATGAGGATTCTTTTGGTAAATGTCTCAATGATTATCCATGTTCAAATTGCTGGTCTTAATTTAATAGTTTTCAGGCAAACAGTGCAAATGATGCAAAAAGTGGTCATTGATTATTGAAATAAAACTTTACATTTTATCTTATATTAAAAACAGGAATTACGATAAGAATAAATAAAACCCACTTTAAAGCTCATTATTGGAGATTGTCACTCAATGTAATTGAAGGACGGAAATAAGAATGGCAGCATTAAACTTTATTGAAATATTCTTAATCATGGACAACTTCATGGGTGTTCTTCAACCCGGATTAAGCCTCTTTATTTACAACCCTCTTAAAATCAAATAAATAAATCGGGAGCCCTTCATGAATATCACATTACAAGCATTCACAATTTTTCCAAGAAGCTCAGTCATGGTTTTAAACGGAAATTCCAGCTTTGAAATGTTTCGCATAATTTTCTTCATTATGTTCAACATACTTTATAGCCACTCCTTTATTAAGCAAATAATATTTTGATCGTGAAATTCTTTAATGTGAAAATATTTTTAAGATTTAAATAATCACATTAATTTAATTAAATACAGTAAAAGAAAAAACAATTATATCCACAAATCAATGACTGATTGGGGCAATTTAAAAATGCGATGTAATATGCAATAACGAAGGCTAAATTACTTCTCTTTAATGCAGAGTTGGTAATTGAGATTTAAAATTAATTTTTCAACGACGATGAAGCGTTTGATAGTTTCTAGTCCACAGTATAAGTTCCTCTACTGGAAGACATACCAACTCTGTTTTCAATATTTAACCTAATAATTTTCTTCTGTTAGATTTATTGCATTAAAAATGTTAAATAGATAAAATGATTAATTACATATTAAAACTATAAGAGAAACTTTATAGGGAGAAGAAGATGAGAAGGAGTCGAATGAATGCAAAAATAAGCGTTGTTAAATCATCAAAAAAGATTAATAAAAATATGCTACGTGAGAAGATTCTTTTTCACGACTTTTTATTGCTGTTCATCGTCCACACGACAACGAGATGATCTGAAAAATTATTATAAAAGCATCTCGATGCCTAAGACTTAAGCTTGTCCATAATCAATTTGATATTTTATGTAATTTTTCTGCTTGCGGTGCTCTCAAAAATCTGTGTGTAAAATGTATCATCAAGCCATGCAGCGAGCTTGGTAAAAGGTTGAATATTTATTTTTATACTTAATGCTGTTCAATGAAGCGTCAAATTGCTTTATTAAATGTTAATATTGAGTTCAAGAATTTGCATCAATATGCAAATCGCAGACTTGAAAAACGCATCATTAATGATCATTAAAATCAATTTTGCTTGGCATAAAATGTCTAATTTGTTTTCCAAAAATGCTCAAATTTGTTTTTTCACAAGCAATTTGTCGTCTTCTTCTTACTTCAATCAATTAATGTGTGTCCATAAAACGAACCGGAAATTGTGCAAATCATGGTGTAAATTTAGTCAAATTTTATGTTAGCTTGTCTCATTGAAAAGCTACTAGTTTATATACTTCAAAAAACTGCTACCCCAGCAACAGCTGTTTTGATGCATAAAGCATCCAGAAGTCATCATGTGATAGTTTTATCACCAAAAGATTCAAATGCATAGACGAGAAACATAACCACCAAAATTTCCCACAAATTAACATAAAAAGCATTTCAAGACTGAATAAGTTACACTAGATAAAATTTATTAACCAAATGACATTTTAGGATATCGCTTAAACAAATTTGATTCACGATGAGTTTTACCTTCGCTCATGCACTCATCTGCAGATGAAATAAAATCTTCTTAAACTTTTTAGCATGAGATATAAAAGCTATTGTTTGTATTATTTCAAAAAGCCGGCAAACGATGATGCATAAGAAAGAGTTGATGAAGACGACGTGGAATCAAGAAAAGTGTTTCAAATGTGAAAGAAGAAACAAACAAAAAAGAAAACAAGTTGATGGGAAGTCAAGGTCATATTGAATAATGCTGTACGACAATAAGATACAATTGACGCTCTTAATTTACTCTTGTGTGGCTCTTTTGTTTCATGCTTCCTGAGAGAATAGCAACGCCAAAAAAATATGATGAAATTTTTGAGAAATAGAAACAATAATAAATTTTTGAATTGATCTGAAACTCATTTTCATAGAGATTTGAGTTAGATTGATAGGTTTGAGTACGCAATGGCTGATGAAGTAGTAGAAACTTTAAAATCATTGTTACTAGAAGATTTGATAGACATGACAGAAGTTGGTTTCTGAACTATGTTTTATGTCATTTTCAACAGGATATCTTGAGGTCAAATTCAGTTCCATTCTCATTAATCGTCATTTTTGTCACCAATTTTAATTAATGACTTAATTGTTTCTGGAACTACTCTAAAATTGCAGACAAATTATAAAAATTATACAATTATTTTTGAGTCTATTGTAATACAAAGCAAAATGATCGCCCACCCTTGAAATGAGAAAAGAGAGTTCACCTGTGATCTTTTTTTGTATACAAAACAATCCGTGTGATTCTATTTAAATTAATTTTTTTGGAGATGCTTCGAGCTGATAATTAGATTTAAATTTTAAAACGGATATAGATGGCAACATTTTTTTTGTACTATTCAAATTAACTTTGCTACTATTTGAGCAAAAATTTGGTTTGATTCTGTCTGCTATAGCTTCAAGCTTATTCATGAAATTTAATTTTTTAAAATTAAACAACTGAAATTAAAGTTGAAATTTTTAAGCTTTGTTGAAATTCAAAAATCTCAAAAACTTGATTTTTAAGAAGCCTCAACCAATAGCAGCGCTTAAAAAATTCCATAAAGCACTATTACTTCTGCATCAATTTCATTACTAGCAATTGCATCAATTACCAAAGTGGGAAGACACTATAATTATTAATATCAGAATAGTATGAAGTATTAATTGTTGACTGTCATTAAAAATGTGCATTCTCTCCCAATATTTATGATGAAATTCAATCTCATATGGCGATTCAAATATCTTTATCTTTTCGCTTACTTCGAAATAGCGAGAGATAAATTTAATAAAAAAATTGTGTGAGTGAATGAAAAATGCGTACTTATTAAGCAAAATAATGCAACTGACATCAAGTTATTTACTTTTAATATGACGATTTTATTCAAACGAATTGAGAAATGTGGAAAAAAATGTAAATTAAATTAATGCAAAAATATTTTCATATTTATTTTTTTATAAAATTCTGCATAAATATCTCATTAGAATGATTCATAAGGATCATGTCATCAAGTCTAGCCTTCAATATTCTAATGAATTGACTGTGATCAGATGATTGTGTGTTGGATAAACAAGAGAATTAATTAGATACAAACTTTTGGAACGTGTAAAATTTGTTTTAGATAAGATTGGACATTGTCAAGCTTGACTCATAAAATATTGAAAGTAATTAAGGGTCAATAAATCCTCAAATATTTAAAAATCTTCATCACCATTCAAAAATGTGTCCAGACATTTAAATTTGCGAATTTTCTTATGACAGCAAAGGTGCTAATCAAGCGCCAACCGGAAAATTAAGTAAGGAAACAATTTATTGTTTTCATGAAGCAGAAACTATTAGCTTGCAATTTGAGATGAGTATATTAAGAAATTAGCATCTCAGAAAAATATTAATGACATAATAAACTAATAGTTGTGTCCATTTTGAGACACTGATGCATCCAATAAACTTGTAATAAATCAACGAATGATTAAATGACTGAAAATGTTCTGAAGGTGTTGTTCATTAATGATGTTTAGGACTTAATCTAGGGACTACGTTTACACTTTATTCTGAGGTTTACAAATCTAGTTTTGTGTCATCATTTAGAAATGACTCCCCAAAATAATAATAGTCATTTAATTGTCGCTCAAATAAA